TTGGCTCAAACCGAATGTGCTCTCAAGATTTACAAATCTACAGACTACCTGAACACCAAATTTTTCTTCGCTATACCTCGTTCTTACAACCCAATAATTGTCTTTCCACAGTTACTCCGAAGACCGTAGCCCGCGCGCCTTGTGTCCTCTATTTTTCTTTTGCCTCATATTCACACTCCAGACCAAATTTACACACTCAGACGTTTCTGGCATTGTCGATGTGAAGCGTTCGTCACCATACCACCATGCCACATACCGTTGATATGACCAAGTTTTTGTCCAACTCCTCCTTTCTTCCCTCTCGCATTTTTTGCCTCAATACATCTCCTCTCTCAGACTCTTCTGTACGGCCACCTAAGCATCCGTTCTACTATTCAGGAAAGCTGAATTTAGAAGAATTTCCGCCAGAATCTTATACATTTTTTATAACCTTGACTTGCACTCGTAATGAGGCATGGCATAATTTGATAAATTTGTGTGATTTGACTTCTCGGTTTAGGAAACGCTTTCGTGGATTGAGCTCACCGGAAACCTTTGTTGCTTTGGGTTATTTGTGCGTTAATTTCATAAATGATGATGGTTGTCACCGTGGTACATACGACAGCTCAGCACGGACGGCTCGAGTTTTTTGGACAGATGGACGACGATCTCTTGGCACCTTCCAATATGCTTTACTTCATTCCAGTATTCACCTCGTTCTGTTTTTAGTGAGGCCAATTGGCGAATCGCTTGCAATCAACTTTTACTTTTGCAATTACAGTCAAGATGCAAGATTTGTTTAGCTTTTTTATGCTAGCTCGTCTATGAAATCCGGCAGCCCTGCTTTTGCGGGTCGGTATTTTTGAGGCCGGTCTGTTGTGGTTTGAGATCGGTTCAAAAACCGAAAACCACCACAACATCACAAGCAGGTGTGATAGTCTGCGTTCAGGTGTCCCCATAACTGCACATAAAACCCTCTTGTTTGTTCACTTTGCCATGTCTCTTACAGGCGGACAGAAGCCCCAGCCCCAAAGGTGCGTCGTCGAGTGGAGCAAGCGGGTCTCCGATCAAAATGGGCTACCTCGCTGCGTCCACAGAGACTGGATGGCCGGACCCACGCATTCTGCACCAAAGTCACTCAGAGGCTGGCCTCCATGGCTCGTTTCTTCAGCACCAATACACTCAAACGAGGGATCCCGTTGGCGGGCCTCGAACTCAGGCCCTGTCTTCTGCGCTATACCCGCAAGCACTCTTTCTTGCCTACAACCAATGATGAGCGAACTTGTCGCCGAATATAAAACAATCCTCTTGATCCCCTTAACTGGCATAAGAACTGCCGATTAATGCCCCACCCCCGCCTCGCATACACACTTACGTACCTTTTCACAAAGACAGATGAGTAACAAGGCCAGCCAGAGATGAGGAACCGACCAAGACCACTTCAAATGTACCACCTGGACATCATGTCTCAGAGGCAGAGGCATTCAGACAAACTTGACTGAAGGCAGTCGGCACATTTGAGATGTACATGGGCAATTTGTTCATACCTTGCAATCCAATCAGTCAAGTATGCCTTTTACATCCTCTTTTGCAGTTACACGATGCTGACAGGGCTTGGCTGGTTCGAGATTATCTAATTCTTGTTGACTTGGCTGGTCCAGCAGAAGTCACAAAGCTGACTAGACATGTTAAAGAAAGAAAAATAAAAGTGGTTGGATTCCATGACACATGGAAGAATAGATGAATGTACAGGAGAGAATGGGTTTAGAGGTAGATGGATAGAAAGAAATGTCGGTAGACAGTTATGTAGATAAGGGGCTATCAAGTAAAGCATTCTAAGTAGATAAACATAAAATAGGGAGGAACTGACAAGAAAGTTTCTCATACTTTTCACTGGATATACTTATATTGATGAACATTAGGTGTGGGTGTGTAAATGGAAGTAGATGGGCGGAGGACAGGCCTTTTGCGATGTTTAGAGGTTAAGGGTAGGTGGGACACACCACGGCAGTTTCCCGTCGAAGCAACGTGGAAGAGACAAATTCCTTGAAATAATTGTACTGAACGAAGCTTAAAGTGGGGATATTAACGGAAATTGTAATACTACTTAGCGAAATATTGAAATAATTGAAGTAAGTATGGTTGAATATACAATTGCAAACAGAATGTCAGCACTTTCTAAGAAATAACTAAAAAAATTGAAATAATTGCGAAACCGATATTGGAAATATGTCGAGGCTATTTAAGAACTAATTAAAATAAAACATATGAAGATCAAGATAGTGTGGCCCTCGGTATGGTCGCAGTCTCTTTTCAATTTGTAGAAGTGAGTTGACCTCGTTTTCGCAACTTGGTCGTGTTGTTAAGGTGACTTTGTTGAAAGCACCTTGTCCGAAATCCCCCCGCCATGGTAGTTATCATAATTGCCAGCATCAGACAGTGGACTTGGTACATTTTCAGACGTATCACCGACATCGTAGTCGGCATCATTAGTGAGTCTTGCCATTCTCTGCATGAAGCTACACATTCGTCAGAGACAAGTGAATTCAATCCCTCGATCAACATTATGACTCCTCTTTCTGTCATTGTCTATCTATCTACTCTTTATCCTCTTATCCAACTCCCGCCATATCACAACTCCTCAACTGTTTACATTCCACTCGTCAAAATGTGTGCCCTTTTGTGTGTGGCTTCAGCACACTTGCTATTCACCCCGACCCCCTCTCTTTCGATCGGCTCTGATCCGACTTGGCCTCCAATTCTGATCCCCTCATTGTCTCGTAGATCCGTTCCTTATTGTTCTGGTTGACCGATTTCACTCGGTTCCAGTAGCAGAGTTCATTTGAATCCAGGCGCTATTTCTCAATTATATAAAAAGCCAATGGCTGAATGCAATTTGGCCAGAACTCAGAGTAATTACAATACACTGGCGTAGTGTCTTCCGGGTCATCAATGTTATGTAGTTAAATATAGACAAGCAAATAACTTATTTTGGTATAACTTTAACACCGTACCGCCGTTGACATAACATTTTGGTCTTCATATCTTCAATGGCGAAAAGAAGTTGTGATAAGGTGGGAGTGGGATAAGAGGGTAAAGAGTAGATAGATAGACAATGACAGCAAGACGAGTGATGGTGTAACCGTTTTGGGTAGAACGTTTGTCGAGGGATTGACTTTACTTGTCTCTTTGACGAGTTTGTAGCAAGACTCACTGATCATGCCGACTTCGATGCCGGAGAAACGTCTGAGAATGTACCAAATCCACAGTCTGATATTGCGAACTATGATGACTATTGCAGACGACTTCGGACTAGATGCGTTCTACTAAGTCGCCTTGACAACAAGACCAAGTTGAGATAACGAGGTTAACCCATTTCTAATTAAAATAAAACGTTGAGACAACAAAATAAGATACGAAGTGAAACTTAGTTTCGTTTTCACCCGAAACGAGAGAGGAAGTCTCGTGGACTGCGTCAACCTAAACGTCGTATCCAAGCCAAACGGCTGCAGTACAACGTGATTCATCCGTCCTCTTCTGATGAGATCGGACTACGAATCTCTTCTTCATGCACTTTCATACGAAATGAAATTCCTCCTAACAATGTCATCTCAGAGATTCATCGAAGCCCAGTTTCTCTTCGTATCTACACTGTACGTATGGTTCGACTTTTGGCCATTTGCCTTCTCTACTACATTATAACCAAGACAACGAAAACCCGGAAAGTTAATAGAATTAGAAGTTGTTTGATATTTGTTTTAACGACTTGGCCAAGTTGGTAGAAG